AATCATTTTGGATATATTTCTTACATTTACGCTTTGCAAAGAAACAGGCGATGAGCAAATTCGGATGTTTTACATCTCTAAACGATAGCTTATAAAGTGAACTGGTCTTCAACAATTTCATTTTATTTGATATTAAATAAACGTACATTTTGCCGATTCCAGCCCCTCGGTTCACCCGTGCTTATGTATCAGCACAGCATGCATTTGGCCGAAAGAAAGTTTGGTTAGGGGCGGTGCTATCACCCAAGCTCTGTATCTCCAGCCCATCAGTTCTCTGTGTCAACAGTGTCCGAAAGAAACAGTTCTCGGTTCTACTGGTGATTGAGAATGAGAACCGCTGTACCTGTACATTCGGTAGTACGTGTTAAGTAACCTATCTTACTTAACAGACTCAAATGTATGATTGTTTTTACCAAGTAAAACATCTCAGGTTACGTATGTAACCCTGGTTCCCTGATAGTGAATGAGACGCTGCGTTTGAGACGCGGTGGGAACGCTCTACATGATTGTGCCGTGAAGCACGTGTAAAATCAGTCGAATGGAAGCCCGAGACATCATAGGCGGGTGAGGTCATAGATCAGGAAACTATAATGCACCCCTGAAATCAGACCGCGACAGCTTCTGAAAGGCCTGAAGCAAGTCGATCAGGGCATGCTGGAAGTATGGCAGACAAACGCCGCATCTCGTTCCCTATCAGGGAACCAGGGATACATACGTAATCTGAGACGTTCCCTTTCAAGGGAGCTCGAGCTGCGTTTGTGCCGCTGTGGGAGCCCCATACTCACTATGCCATAATGAGAAATGCCCGTTCTGTGTGAAGTCCTTGCACACACTAAGAAGCAAGCAACCTAGCCCCAGGTCTAGGTCATAAAACCTGACAAATGCATGCGGAGAGGACCATCCTGCCGCATTACAAACGTCAAGAAGGGAAACACCCGAATTTAAAGCCATAGAGGCTGCCATACTTCTCTAAGAATGGGCGTGTACAGCCATAGGTGAAGGCTGTCTGGGTGCTTCATAAGCCAATGAGATAGTCTCAACTATCCATTTGCTCATTACCTGTTTAGATGCAGGGCACCCTCTCTTGAGTGACCCAGAGCACTCAGACTTACGCCACCAGGCAACTCTATGAACGTATGCATCCAATGCCCGAACTAGACAAAACAGATTAAGTTGTTCCTGATCTGGGGTATTAAAAGGTGGAGTGGAGGATAAAAGCCCTGCAACACTATTGGGCCCCCAATATTAGCTGGGACCTTAGGAATATAACCCAGTTTTGAGTGAAGAAATGCTTTCACCATACCAGGTGCAAATTCCAGGCTTGAAGGAGCAACCGACAGGGCATGTAAATCTATAATTCTCTTGATAGAAGAAATAGGAAGGAGAAATAAAGTTTTCAAAGTGAGGAATTTTTCTGAAACCTCTTCAATGGGCTCGAAGGGAGCCAATGCCAGACCCTCAAGTACAATGGCCAAATCCCTACCCGGTGCTCTAGAGTGCAGTGCAGGTCTCAACCTCAATGTACCACGAGAAAACAAGTAAACAGAGGATCTCTCCTAATAGAAGTACCCCACAGAGGGGTGTGGAAAGCCGATGTAGCTGCCACATACACCTTTAAGGTAGAGGGAGATAATCCAGCAGAGAAACGGTCTTGCAAGAAATCAAGAATTGTACCAACAGGGCAGTTAACTGGATCTTGGTGACATTCACCACACCAGGTGGAGAATAATTTCCATTTCAATGCATATAGTTGTCTTGTGGAAGGAGCTCTGGATTGGAGAATGGTCTCAACGACCTCAGTCGAGAGACTGGATTCTATGAGCCGGGCCCCCTCATTGGCTGAGCCCACAATATCCAAAACTCCAAATGAGGGTGAACTCCCAGGAGCAAAGATATCAGGAAATGCTTTCCGGTGTAGTATCAACCACACCAAATACATCACATCCAGTCCAAGCGGAGCTGGATGCGTGAGGGAGAACCAAATAGAGGAATGCGTTGAACAAACGATGTGAAAGGTCGACTTGACTTTAGTTTGACCAAAATTCTCCCTAAGAAGCTCCACCACCTCGGGGTGAAGTCTCCAATCCCTGGGCCTCATCCCCTGCCTAAACATCTGCGAGGGACGCATCCATTGATAGCACTATGCGTCGACAAGAAGCCCCCCCAACACTGGGCCTGGGCGAGGAACCGAGGTTCTTCCACATGACCGAGGCACGTAGGCATAGCCACGTGACCTTGACCATGCGAAAACATATTTCCTCTGAGAGAAAACCCCTTGGTCCTAAAGCCACCACTGCAGGTGTCTCATGTACAGAAGGCCACGCTGGACGCAGCTGCCACGAGACCCACCAGTCTGAAACTGTTTCACAGAGAGTGACTGGCCTAGATATACCCCATTACAGCGTATTTACGACTAACTTACCAACATCTGGCACACGTGTTGTGAACCACTGCTATCTATCGTGATGTGTTCGGAATGAGACTTCTTCAGTGCGATTTCCTACTAATAAATTTGAAATTTAAAAATATCAACAAACAGCAAAGCAATCCAGCTTCCCCGGCTATAAGACCGAAATAATAACATTAAAAGAAATACATAAACCTTGTGAATAAGATCTCGTGAATAAATGTTGAAACAGCTTCTCTGCTGCAGCCTGACATGCAGAAAGAATCATGCTGTGATCACGATTCACTAAATAAGTTTAAAAAACGTGCTGATATCAGGAAAATTACTAAATAAACCAGTCCTAAACTAAATTACGTGATTGGGTTAGTGTGTGACAGAGAAAGACAACTTTTAAAAGCTTCCAGTAGACTCTAATATAACATAATCATAAATTATTGCATGTTCTTATATAACTATTAATTAATTAAAGAGGCCATATGCAGGTTTTTCTCCAAAATAAATAACAATAGCCTTTTTATTTTACTATTTATGACTCAAACATCTACTGATGAGCATACTGACACTTTGTCCGCTCACAGTGGGTGCACATAAGCCTGTATCCTATTTTTCCTATTTTCTGTCGGGTCGGACTTTTCCCGCGCTGTCTGCGGATGTGACGTCAAGCGCGTTCATGTTACGTATTTTCCGCAAAGCATCCAGGCGGCGCTACATTTGAAAAAATGCAGCGCGTCAAAAAGCTGGCCGATGCCCATCTTTATGCAAATGAATAAGGTCCTTCTCTATATGAGTTCGCATCTACCACGGATTTTTTTTTTAGTGCAACAATGTGTTCAGTTGTACATTAACAGTGCAGTCGATGCTGTTGTTCATAGACATATACACTAGACCTCACCTCGGGGCTCTAAGCATGCGTTAAAACTGCCGCCATCTTGGAACAGGGGTCTTGTCATAGGAAGTATATAGGTAACGCTGCTATCTTTGCCTTTACGTCGAATTCATTGATGGTGGCGGACTTTTGTGCAGCGTATGATATTCACGGATGAAATATGAACTAGGAAGAATGTTTTTCAAAAAAAAATAAAAAAAAATTTTCTTTCTGGAATCAATGATAAATAATACATGTCTGACCGTTGGAACAAACCAAAAAAACAAGAAAAATCGCATTCATGATGATTTATGGTGATTTTATTTCCGTTAGACCTGTGTCTACTACATTGACGCTGATGCATTAAAGTGGAGGGGCTCCCCTGTTTCAAGATGGCGGCTCTATTGACGCATTCGTTCCAATGAACTGCCGTATCCAAGGTGAGGTCTAGTGTATATGTCTATGGCTGTTGTTTACATCCGAGTACCTCCATAATGGCCGCTCATCTGGGTTACCGCCCAGAACGTGACGTTGGTGAAAACCATTGACAGGTAAAAACCCTGAGATCACTCTGCCAGCCCACCACTGCTAGTCAGCAAGTAGCCTACACTCGCAAACAGAACACTTATCTCAAACAATATATGTATTTAACTGTTCTTACCTCTGTAAACATAATGTTGACCTCCTTGCAGCAGATGACTTGTGAAGTGTGCACGTAAGAGCGCGCGCTGCGAGAGCGAGCAGAAAGGAAGAGCAGAGCAGTTTTCTGTTTTTTGGCCACAGGTGTCAGTCGCAAATTTAAATTTCAGGAAAACAGCATGTAGCCTCTTTAAATGAGCTGACAGCTAGCATCATAGCATCTGGCAAACAGATTACACTAGAGTGTGTGAGTGACTGGTCCAAGATGGCTCCTCAGCGCAAACTTAAGGCAGTCGCGGTCGATAGGGCATAGGTTTTGCTATCTATGAGGGTCTACCATAGACGGCATCTACTCTCTTTTCTGCTAGCGGCCACGCGCCCACTTACATACGTCATCTGCAAACGTATTTCTCTGAGCCAATCAGATAGTACATGTCACATCTTACGCAGTTAATATTCATGACCAAAGGCTTTACCATAGGTTTTTTTTTTTTTTTTTTTTTTTTACAGACACTGTAACCTGTTCAACAAAATTAAATCAACAGTGTACAGACCAGAGGATAATAATACATCAATTAATATAATTATAGAAGGGTAAAAAAAAAAAAAAAAAAATGCAGTTCCTTCAGGAGATGAAATGTTCTTGTAGCCTTCATGTTTTTCATGCTTTCTATTGTTTTGTAATATAATTTAAAGTCCAAATGGAATGCCTTAAAACAAGGTTGTGAATAAGACCATTTACATTTGTGAATATGGTATTTTCCAAGGATAATAAACAGCTGTATAACAAAAAAAATGGCAAACCACAAAAAATAAAGTATAACATAAATATTCTGATGTTTACATTCAATTTTGTGATTATATATTCTTCCAAATCAGACCATTCTTCCAAATCATTTTTTTATTTATGTATTTATTTATTTGTGTGTGTGTATATACAGTGATAAAATAAATGAAAAATAGTCTCCTTATTAGATTCATTGACAGTAAAAGGATTATATTGGCAAAAGGCTTTACCATAGTAGGATTTGTTAATTCGCTTCCGGGAAATCGCGACTAAAGCGTGATGACGTAAAAACCACGGGTTGGTTTAGAGAGCACGCGAGCATTATGCCAGCCAATAGGATGTGGTGTTAATATGGGAGACTCCTAAGTCAGCCCGTTATATTCCTTATCAAAACAAGACGCAGGTAAGTTTTGATCTTTTAAATAGATTCGTGCAGTTATATTTAACACATCTGAAAGCGTCATGCTGGTTATAAAGCATACTTTTGATTTTTATATGTACGAGGGATAAATCTGGTCAACTACAGGCAGAAGAGGCTTGAACGCACGCGCGGAATGACATAAACTGCTGTGATTCTTGCTGTTATGTTCTTAAATTACAATCATTTTATTACGACATAATTTGCTTCTTATTTCCAGACTATTCAATACACGAATATTTTTAGTATTTAGGTCTCATATATTTATCTAGTTCAGATTTCGATGACTTACTGTCTTTTTTCTCAATGAATGATGCTCTTCTGGGAACATTTTATGATTATTATGTATGAATTTGAAAAGTATTATTGTTTGTTACAAAAGCATTTTTTTTTTCGAATTACTGAAAAATTTGCAGGTCTATTTTAATTAATGTCCATGTTTGTTTATTGTCAATGAACCACCTGTAGTTGGTGCTAAAGCCGTATTGACCAATACACAAATGTTTCTTTTCTCATCTTCACCACGATGATAAGGCAGCCATGCAACCTATGAATATGTATATGGTTCCCAATCCAGGAATACCAGGCTGTCCACCGGGATTAGAGTACCTGACACAGGTTAGATAACAGAATCAATATCAAAAAAGAAGATGTATAGTACAAGTCAAAACTTGATATCTGGCCTATTGTGGCAAAATTTAAATATTCACCCTTTATTCAAATATTATTAAAAGCTTATTGTGTAGCTGTGCCTCGAGTCGAGTTGTTTTGTTTGTCATAACACAATAAAACATACCAAATTGACAAAATACTGATTATGTTGTAGTCAATGTATGCTTTTTACTGTGCTCTTTTTGTTTTTCTATGCATTTTTTCTAAACAATTTTGTCATAAAAATACATTAAGTTTTTGTGTTTTGTTCTTTCCTCATATTAATTAAATATAAATATGACTGGACATCACTTTTAGCCACTAATGTAATATACTATACTGTACTGTGTGTGTCTGTATATATATTAGAAATGTGGATATGTCTATATCACCTGTTTTTCCTACTTTCTCAGGTAGATCAACTTCTTATTAAACAGAAAGTTGAGCTTATTGAAGGTACATATGGACCTATTTTTGCCCTAAACCTATATATGCATAGGTCATTTAATAGAAATACGTTATATTTCATTAATAATAAAGAGTCCTTTCTGTGTTTTATGCAGCTTTGGCAGGCTTTGAGAGCAACAATAAATATGATATCCGCAACTCCATGGGTCAGAACGTGTTTTATGCGGTGGAAGAGAACGACTGTCTCACCCGCCAGTGCTGCGGCCCGCTGAGATCCTTTAACATCCGTGTCCTCGATAACATCGGACAGGAAATCATCACAGTCAACCGTCCTCTAAAATGCATGTCCTGCTGCTTCCCATGTTGTCTGCAAGAGGTGATCTGCCTGGAAGCCTAAATTGGCTCTGAATAGCGAATATGCAGTTGTAATTGAAAGTGTAAAAATTATTCAACCCCTTCATGACAAGCATTTTGCGTATTTAGAACATCCTTTTGCTGTTATAACCTGCCGCAGGCAAGATAACCAACACTGGCAGTGTTTCTGAGGAATATTAGCCCATTTCTCATGAACAATGGCATCCAGTTCAGTAATATTCGTGGGTTTGCGTGCAGCAACCGCCTTCTTTAAATTCCACCAGAGATTTTCTATGGGGTTCAAGTCAGGTGACTCTGATGGCCAATGTAGAATCTTCTGCAACCAAGCCTTTGTGGAATTTGAGGTATGCTTGGGACCATCGTCCTGTTGGAAGGTCCAATGACACCCAAGCTTCAGCTTCCTTGCTGAGACAACACCTGTTTTGCATATTTTTGCTGTTGTGAGGGTTTCTATTCAGGGTGTTGAATCATTTTTAGACTGCAGAAGTCATTAGAAGTTGCATTTTCAGTTGAATTTGGCGAAACAACTTCAAACATTTGTTGTGTTGAACTATTTCAATTGGTTTTGTTTGATTAGTTCATTGCAAGCGGCTGAACGTTTTTCCAATAAACCTGGCTTACAATGGGGGTTGAATAATTTTGATAACAACTGTAGTTATGAGAAGTGCTGCATTTGTTTGCAGATGTCGTTTGCTTTGATATAGACCATGTTGAACATGCCAGAATAGTTATGATTAATGAAACCGTTTTGTTGATTCCTTCTTTTCACCCTCTCCTTTTCTCTCTTAGTTGGAGATCCAGGCTCCTCCAGGGAACACAGTGGGATATGTTCTACAGCAATGGCACCCTTTCCTCCCCAAGTTCACTATAGAGAATGAGCACAGAGAGCCAGTTCTCAAGCTCCAGGGGCCGTTCTGTGGTTGGAGCTGCCTGCCAGACGTGGATTTTGAGGTACATCAACTCAAACGTTTGTGATTAAAGGGTAACTAAACCCCTGGTCAGAGCCTGACTCAACCCACTGGCAATATTTGAAAATGCTGAAAAAGTGGGCTGACCCCAGCGGAGATAAATTGCTAAAACACTCTATCCTGCTCGTTTTCAATACTCACAATTCCAATTCCTGACTCCCTACAGTCGTTTTGACGACACAAGATGGTTTTTATACTGCCAAGGGCGTAGCTCGCGTGGTGAGCTGAAACCTGCGTACGTCACGAAGTGCGGAATATCCAATAGGAAAATTCAACTGCAGTAGCCACCGTTCAACCTGAAGAGGGCAGCACTAAGACGTTTTTACACCATATATTGTAGAAATAGAACGCTTTATAAACAAATGTCAAAAAAGTTACTCGAATCAATGACTGGTATTAATAAAGATCCATTCTTACAGATCATTAACTAAAAAAAGTTGATCAAAAACTAAAAAAAAATGCTCACTGACACTAAATACTTCTACCGTTCACTGAAAATGAATGATATCTGTATCGCACAGCCCTTAAAAGGACAGTTTACTCAAAAATTAAGATTATGTCATTATTACTCACCCTCATGTCATTGCAAACCAGTAATACTTAAGTTCATCTTCGGAACACAAATGAAGATTTTTTTTATGAAATCTGAGAGATTTCTGCCCCTCACATTGAAAGCCACGGCACGCAAGTACCATTTTGATGCTTCGAAAGGTTACAAAGATTATAAACTAATCCATGTGAATTGAGCGGTTTAGTCCACATGTTCTGAAGAGACACTACTGCTATATATGATGAACAGAATTTAGGCTTTTATTCACATATAAACATTCATCAACTCAGATCATTTGTGGTAAACGTCAACGATATTAAAGGGGTGATGAACTGAGAAATCTTTTGACATCTAAGAGGTCGTCATATTATAAGAATATCCTGTAAGTTTCAGAACTGAAAACGTCCTTGTTAGTCCAATAAAAGCTTTTATTGACACCTGCCCCAGCAAACGACTCGTTTTTCAAAGTGGGGAACTATGACGTCAAAGAGGATAAAACACCACCCCCGCAGAAGAAGATCAACGCCAGTTTAGCCCCGCACGCCAATTCTCACATTACACGCATAGCTAAATAACATAGATGCCTACCTCTTGATGACATACTGGATTGAGCTACCGAGCAATAAATATTGTGCAGTGCTTGGATGTGGAAAAAGACAGTCGCTGCATAAGCTTCCTCTGGATTCCAATAGGACTGCATGGATAAACTTTATTTTTAATGACGTTCCAGCTGATGAGGTAAAACATCGACCGTCTGTTCGCTTTATTTCACTGAGGATTGTTTTGTAAACAAGACTGGATTTGCAGACCGATTAAGAGAACGGTGCTGGGCCGTCTATATTGGATCTGACAGGAATTGTGCAACACACGGACTCTGGGTCGAACATGTATGGGAGAATCATTCCGGTTGCCATTTTACAACATTGGATGTTTTCGAAACAATTTCCCCCACGTGCATCGACGGGTGAGTCGAAACTCATTATAATATGCAAAACTATTATCCACTCACAGCAGTGGGCGTTTACTTCCAAGTCTTCAGTGCGAGATGCCCATAAAAACCGAGCGTTTTTGACATAGGCTCAATACTAGGGTAGAAAATAGCCTATTACTTATTCCCTTTGATGGTTTTGAATGCAAAACCAAGTGAACGTCATAAGTTGACCTCAGACAACAATATAATAAAATTTAAAAAGCCAGTTCATGACCCCTTTAAATTTTTGAAGCGTCAAAGTGGTAGTTGTGTAGCTGTCAATGGAGGGTCAGATTTCAACTAAAATATCTTCATTTGTGTTCCAAAGATGAAAGAAAGTCTTACGGGTTTGGAACGACATGAGTGTTAATAAATTATGACAGAATTTTCATTTCTTGGTGAGCTAACCCTTTAATTCCCTTAAAAGCTTTGTTTAGGCTGGCAAACTGAGACTGATGTATCAGAAAAACAATACAAATTATTTTTTTGCATGGAGGACATACAGTAAAGCTTATTTTTAGGATTATTAAGATTTTTTTTTACATTATTTTCAATTAAAAGTAATTCTACATCATTGTATTATTTGTTGCATCTTTAATGTATGCTAATTTTAATCATAAAATATAAAAATAAGATAATCATAAAAACTTTTGTTATAGGCCTGGTTTCATAGACAGGGTTTAGAATAAGCCAGGATTTAGGCCTATTAGGATTAGGACATTTAACATTACTGGTGTGCATCTTGAAGGAAAAAAAAAAGTTGATATGCCAGTTTTCCTTGAAATTAATTTACATTTTTTCATATGTCAGTGCAAGTTGCGTTCAGTTAAAACAGCTCAAACATGCATTTTAGTAATTTCCTGCCATTCCGTTTCTGTCTGCACTTTGGCTCTGTCTATAAATGCCCACTAGGGGGAACTGTTATTCAGGAGATCAGTGGTTCCCAAACTTTTTAGAGTGATGTACCACTCAGGCATTTAACATCCTTCTGCATATACCCCCTCTCTTTCACTGAGACTGCAGTCACACCTTTTCCATTAAGGGTCAATATTTGCCCTCTTCAATTCATTTTCAGGTGCATTTTTACAAAGTTTTTCTAACCCTATTAATCAAATCAGTATCAACAAAAGCCATCTTTGCACTGCAGTGGCACAAACCACATCTAGATGTATTTACGCACTGCTCAGAGGTGGCATGAATGCAATTACAGTGGCATAAATAATGTTATGAGATAATGTTTTAAATAGAAATTGTTAGTCCACTTTAGACATTCTACTTTGCAACTTTGCAACTACATGTCAACTAACTCTTATTAGAGTATGAGTAGACTATAGTAGACTGTTAGGTTAGGGTTAGTAGAATAAGTTGATATGTATGTAATATGTACAGCAAGTCAACTGGGGAGCGTCAAAATTTTGTTTAAAATGTACACGTGATATTACATTTTTGTTGTTTATATTACCGTAGCCCTCAATCGGGTCATGGGGTCTATACGACCCCAATCGACTTTTACTTAACAACAAAAAAAAAAAAAGGTTCCCTTCATCTCAGTGGAATAAGATTTTGTGACTTTTCATACATTATCTATCTATACACACAAAAACTGCGCTTGATTCGGTTGTTCTGAAGGATTGTCAACTGTTTGACCATCACCATTCTTCAAAATATATTATTTTATGTTCATCAAAAAAAAGAAACTCATACAGGTTTGGAATATCATGTGGGTTTTTCAATTTTGTGTGAACTATCCTTGTAAGTACAATTGAAAATCATATTATTCTGTCTAGATTCTCACCATGGATGAAGTTGGCATCGGAAAGATTAGCAAACAATGGACAGGACTTCTCCGAGAGGCTTTCACGGATTCTGACAACTTTGGGATACAGTTCCCTATGGATCTTGATGTGAGAATGAAGGCAGTGATGATCGGAGCCTGCTTTCTCATTGTGAGTTGGAGTGTATGGAGGATATGGTTTGTATTGTGTGAGAAAGGCCAATACCCATCTCCTCCCCCTGATCCCTAACCCCACCCCTAATCTACCCATCTCCTCCCCCTGATCCTTAACCCCACCCCTAATCTACCCATCTCCACCCCCTGATCTCTAACCCCACCCCTAATCTACCATCTCCTCCCCCTGATCCTTAACCCCACCCCTAATCTACCCACCTCCTCCCCCTGATCCTTACCCCCACCCCTAATCTACCCACCTCCTCCCCCTGATCCTTAACCCCACCCCTAATCTACCCACCTCCTCCCCCTGATCCTTAACCCCACCCCTAATCTACCCATCTCCACCTCCTGATCCTTAACCCCACCCCTAATCTACCCATCTCCACCCCTGATCCTTAACCCCCTCCCCTAATCTACCCATCTCCACCCCCTGATCTCTAACCCCACCCCTAATCTACCATCTCCTCCCCCTGATCCTTAACCCCACCCTTAATCTACCCATCTCCACCCCCTGATCCTTAACCCCACCCCTAATCTACCCACCTCCTCCCCCTGATCCTTAACCCCACCCCTAATCTACCCACCTCCTCCCCCTGATCCTTACCCCCACCCCTAATCCTACCCATCTCCACCTCCTGATCCTTAACCCCACCCCTAATCCTACCCATCTCCACCTCCTGATCCTTAACCCCACCCCTATCCTACCCATCTCCACCTCCTGATCCTTAACCCCCTCCCCTAATCTACCCTTCTCCACCCCCTGATCCTTAACCCCACCCCAATCTACCCATCTCCTCCCCCTGATCCTTAACCCCACCCCTAATCTACCCATCTCCTCCCCCTGATCCTTAACCCCACCCCTAATCTACCCACCTCCTCCCCTGATCCTTACCCCCACCCCTAATCCTACCCATCTCCACCCCCTGATCCTTAACCCCACCCCTAATCTACCCATCTCCTCCCCCTGATCCTTAACCCCACCCCTAATCTACCCATATCCTCCCCTGATCCTTAACCCCACCCCTAATCCTACCCATCTCCACCCCCTGATCCCTAACCCCACCCCTAATCTACCCATCTCCACCCCCTGATCCCTAACCCCACCCCTAATCTACCATCTCCACCCCCTGATCATTAACCCCACCCCTAATCTACCCATCTCCACCCCCTGATCCTTAACCCCACCCCTAATCTACCCACCTCCTCCCCCTGATCCTTACCCCCACCCCTAATCCTACCCATCTCCACCCCCTGATCCTTAACCCCACCCCTAATCTACCCATCTCCTCCCCCTGATCCTTAACCCCACCCCTAATCTACCCATATCCTCCCCTGATCCTTAACCCCACCCCTAATCCTACCCATCTCCACCCCCTGATCCCTAACCCCACCCCTAATCTACCCATCTCCACCCCCTGATCCCTAACCCCACCCCTAATCTACCATCTCCACCCCTGATCATTAACCCCACCCCTAATCTACCCATCTCCTCCCCCTGATCCTTAACCCCACCCCTAATCTACCCATCTCCTCCCCCTGATCCTTAACCCCACCCCTAATCTACCCATATCCTCCCCCTGATCCTTAACCCCACCCCTAATCCTACCCATCTCCACCCCCTGATCCCTAACCCCACCCCTAATCTACCCATCTCCACCCCCTGATCCCTAACCCCACCCCTAATCTACCATCTCCACCCCCTGATCATTAACCCCACCCCTAATCTACCCATCTCCTTCCCCTGATCCTTAACCCCACTCCTTATCTACCCACCTCCACCCCCTGATCCCTAACCCCACCCCTAATCTACCCATCCCCACCCCCTGATCCTTAACCCCACCCCTAATCTTCCCATCCCCACCCCCTGATCCTTAACCCCACCCCTAATCTACCCATCTCCACCCCCCTGATCCCTAATCTACCCATCCCCACCCCCTGATCCCCACCCCTAATCCTACCCATCTCCACCCCCTGATCCTTAATCCCACCCCTAATCCTACCCATCTCACCCTCTTATCCCTAACCCCACCCCCAAACCCACCCATCTCCACCCCCTCATCCCTTACTCCACCCCAAATCCCACCTATCTCCACCCCCTGAGTGTATGGAGGATATGGTTTGTATTGTGTGAGAAAGGCCAAGAAAGTGTTAGTAAAGACATTTATGTTCATTTTTTTTTTTTCAGGACTTCATGTTTTTTGAGTCGAATAACTAACTGCTATGCAGAGGGTGTCCTGCTCTGTGGAAATGGGTGAAGAGAGAGGTTTACCTTCTATGAAACCCCATGAAATGCATGTGAATATAAAGGGAATAACGGTGCTTTTAGAGAATGAAAATAGCTTCAGGTGTGTGATAGAACTGGTTGTGCCGATTAAAGTGCATTGTTTTATATTTTTATCTACACGTAACATTAATAAATAGATTAATAAAATAACTCATGCTATGAATGGCATTTAAAGGAATAGTTCAACCCCCCCCCCCAGAACAGAAAGTGAAATGTTCCTTTAAGAGCTGTCAGTACGACTATGCATATTCAATTCTGCTGTAATACCTGCACTGAATGACCAGTATTATCAACAGTACTAGTACAACCAGTATTATCTTTTACAACACAAAATTATAATTTATTGTTAAACTGTTTTCAACTCTTAGTTTTATTGATTATTTCACAAAAACATATATTTTGCATGCAAACAGCTAAACTGTTGCTCAAAATGTTCATGAATGTAGTAATTTGTTATTTATTGTGTTATTTAATTTGCTTATATATTGTTTGTTTGTTTGTTTAATTTGTAGTGTCAACAATAAGCTTATAAATATGATTGTTTTTTTAAAGAACTTCTTTCGTTGTACTCAAATTCTCCAGAAGAGGGCAATGCTGATCTTTACTGTAAGTATATAAAATGTCAATGTTTTAGGTTCTCTAGGTAAGATATTCATTGTTATTAAGTGTTAATGTTTGTTATGACTCAGGTTTGCAATTTAGGCATATCTTCATGACGCTACATGAATGCCTGTTATAGTTTATGTCTGACTAATAGAAGGTATTTCTAACAAGACACTGTTCTTATGTTTGTTTTATTTAAAATGTTATGTATATTATATATATATATATATATATATATATATATGAAGAGTTCAGATGCAAAAGCCTCTAAATGCCATTTGAAATTTTCTTCTTTAATGATGATTTTTATCAAACTTGTATATTTAAATTCAGTAATTTCACTTAAATAACAATTAATAGGTAATTAGCATTGCCATTTAAGTGAAATCACTGAACTTAAATATACAAGCTTGATAAAAATGATAATTCTAGAAGAAAATTTCAAATGGCACTTAGAGGCTTTTGCATCTGAACTCTTCATATATATATATATATATATATGTTATATCTAGTGCTAAACATAATTTTATAAACTACACACATCTAATCATTGTGTAGCCGATGTACTGTTATTTTCAGTCACTAATTATAATTGAATGTTTTGATTGAATTTGTCATAAAAAAAACAACAACACAAAATGATGTCTTGCATAAACCCTTAATTGAAATGGTATTTGTTGGGTAACTTAGGGAATATATGCATGTGTACACACACACACACACACACACACAAAATAATAATAATAATTTCCAACTCTATATTTTTGTCTTATTTTCCATTATAAATATCTAAATATTCTTAAATCAAGATAAATTTATTGAAATGCTAAATTACCTAAAGAAAGAGACTTTAGAGCGAGGGAACCGGGAGTGCTAAAATGCTAACGCACTCTTTAGCACACTATGAGGTGCTAGTCAAGGAGGCCTGGTTACATTTGGTGCCGTGACCCGGATGGGAGCGTGGTTTAAGGGCGTGAGTGTAATGGAGGCAAGCTAGTAAGAGATGTGCGCGTAAACCTCACTCCCCTGACCTCAATGCAAGATCACCTCGCACTAGCAACTAAGGCTAATGACTACGGTCTTAGCGTCCTTGTTATTGTGCCCGCCTTCGAATGCCACTCGAAGCAGATCAAGTAGGACTGGTTAGAGATAAAGCAGCTCTGGATAAAACAGTGATTATCCAGCTCAGTTTAGTTCTCATCCATTAGAGTCAGTGCCGTCAATTCGCCAAGACCATAGTCTCTAATGTCAGTTGTGGGAGGTGATATTGCATTGAGGTCAGGGCAAGGCCATCTCAAAGAGGCACAAAATTACTTCCCTGCTGGAGGAATGACCTAACTCAACCCGAGCTGCTCAGTCTATAGCCATTTTCAAGAAACTGCTAAAGACGCATATCTTTTGGGAACACTTGACCCCATTAATACTACTTACTATTCTATATTTATTTATTTATTTATTTTTATTTTTTTAAACACACCTTACTTGTACGCTAGATTAAATGGGACTGGTCACAGCACTTGCATATCATACTTTGATTGCTTCTATATTGCTCTCCTCATTTGTAAGTCACTTTGGCTAAAAGTGTCTGCTAAATGATTACATGTAAATGTAAATCACTTTTACAAAATGAAATGTGCTCCATTATCTTGCTCTGAAGCTGGCTTTCATTGAGTGGAGGAAACAAAAACAGCTTAAACATTTTGATATAAATATCCCCTTTTGTGTTTCAGAGTAAAAAGAAGAAATATGACTGAGGGTAAATAAATGATTAGAATGGTTTGTGGATGAATATTCCTCTATTTCACTTCAGCAGTGTTACTGTGATGATCTATTACAGTACCTGTGCGGTTTGTATTTGCTATTATGATACTGTATAGTCTATTTCACTTCCATGTACTGTATATTTAATCTGCTTTGAGTTTATATTCATTCAAGAACTGCTTTCAGGGAGCAAAACGATGTTTTTGACTAATATTGTCTACTTTGGAAAGACTGTTGGGGTGCTCAAATGTCAGAGTTGTAACAGTGTTGTTATTGAAAGGAAGAACTTTTAAAGGGTTAGTTCACCCAAAAATGAAAATTAAGTCATTAATTACTCACCCCCATGCTGTACCAACCCCGTAAGACCTTCGTTCGTCTTCGGAACACAAATGAAGATATTTTTGATTAAATTTGAGATAACACACACATATAACTACCACATTGGCTGCCTAAGGGACTGGCTCTTGACGGCCCAGAAAGTCAATGAAGAAAATGTTTAAATATCCCAAGTGACTACCGTGGCTCAACTATATGTTTATCAAGCGACGCGAATACTTTTTGTGCGAAAAAACAAACAAAAATAACGAGTTTATTCGACTATTTATTTTCTTCCTTGTAGGCCAGAATGAGACTTCCTTAGATTTCCACGACGCATGCGCGAGAATTGCGATCTGAAGAAGTGTAAGCTGGTGTGACGCATGCGTCGTGGAAATCTAAGGAAGTCTCGTTTCTGGCCTACAAGGAAGAAAAGAAATAGTCGAATAAACTCGTTATTTTTGTTTGTTTTTTCGCACAAAAAGTATTCGCGTCGCTTGATAAACATATAGTTGAGCCACGGTAGTCACTTGGGATATTTAAACATTTTCTTCATTGACTTTCTGGGCCGTCAAGAGCCAGTCCTTTAGGAGCCAATGTGGTAGTTATACAGCTCTCAAATTTAATCAAAAATATCTTCATTTGTGTTCCGAAGACGAACGAAGGTCTTACGGGGTTGGTACAGCATGGGGGTGAGTAATTAATGACTTAATTTTCATTTTTGGGTGAACTAACCCTTTAAGTCAATCAGACTTTCACGACGCACTCGAAAAGATAGGACAGAGCCAAATCAATCTGCCAAGCAGGATGAGGACGTGAAGATTTCCTCTCGGACGTCCCTGAGTGAAGCTTGGTTTGTGTGCTGTTGAATCGTTCCTAAAGAAAAAAGAAAAAATTATAATTGCTCAGGTAGCATTACAGGCCAGTGTTGCAATGTTTTACCACAAATGAGTAACATAAAATCAGATGATGGATTGAAGCAACCCTACGCCCTTTGAAGAGCCAGCCTTTTTTCTATGAAGGGATATTTACATCTGGCCAAGACCACTGTAGAGTCATCATGTGTAATGACCCAGATTTTATGATTTGAACATTTTTCTTTTTAAAATTGAATGTTGTCTGGGTAGTCAAACCTTGTACGGTGGCTTTGAGAGACGTTTTGTGCCTTTTTAAAGAAGTACTCATTCTCTTTATGACTTATTTCAAAACAGGGTTTTTTTGTTGACTTTTGGACAAGGACTAATGTACACCCCTGATGCTGGTCTGTAATCTCCTGTGATGGGAGTATGGTATAAATAAAGCGTTCATCACTGAACTTGTCAAACTTTTAGAGCGGGATTGGGTTGAAACAGCTAAATGTTTACTTAAGCTGCGATCGGTGTGAAGAGAACATCTCTGGCTTGTGTCTCCCCTTTTGTGTATAATGACAGAGAAAGAAATGGTTCCCTGGAAGTGCAATGTACTCTCTTCTAAAACCTGGAGAAATATCTTCTGTTTGTTCTGTAACAACTTTACCCCAAAAACACAACCTTTATGTCAACCCATCAAGTAAATTGGTTTATAAGAATGTTGTTTAAGAAGAGGCTTTCTCTGTCTTCAAAATATGGCCGAGAGGAATGTTCTTTCAGGAGCAGAAGGATGTTGATCCAGGAACATGTCCTGCTAGCTAAATCTCGGTAAACCGCCCAAGACAATATATTTAAGTGAACAAAAAATGTCACAATCAGGAGTCATTGTACTGAATCACAATTCAATCCAAAATGATATTTTACTCCTTACAACATCAAGTAATTTTACTCACTTGAAAAAGTTTACATCTTTTAAATAATTAAGTACTTAAAGTGGTATTTTGAGTAAGTTTTACACAATACCCATACTTTAACATAGGTGTGTAATTATATAAAGTATAAATGACCTGGTTGCATAAATGTGCACACCCTTTTATAATGGGGCACACACTGTCTAGAATTAACCGATCACTTTTAAACTTGTGCTAAAAAGTACTTGTAATCATTGAGTCATCATTTAAGTGATGCTGGGTAACCTTGAATAAAAGCCCCCTTCTATGGTCACATCTTATTACCGAAGCCATCCTGAATATGTGCCAGGCAAGGTTATTTATTTCTTTTTTGCAAAGCTGGACTGATAAACCCAGCTAGTAGCTTGGACCTATCCAGAATGTATACATACACATTAATCAGTTTACATTTGCCCTTGCCATTGTGGGTCTGCTCCGAAAGATACACAGTAGGTGACATGCGACATGTTTTTAATCCTTTAAACATTCGATTACATGTTGTGTCATATTTATTTGGAGAGATGAAAACAATTGCTCGAATGGCGAATACACAAAAAACCAGTCTAGCTCGAGCCAGAGCTACAGAGACAACACACTATCATAGCAATTCAAAACTGTTTAACATTATGGAAAAATTGTGATGAATTTGTGCATTTCAATGATCCCCATGTTTTCGTCGGGTCTGCTCATGCCCCGCTGTTTCTGCCTGAAATTTTTTTAATACAATCAACTTTGTTATTTCGAATTAAATGATATTAAACTGACTAGTTGAAAATTGCTTAACTTATTTTCATGAGTTAAACCAATGAACAATATATGTTGTCATCTTTTTGATTGTATCTAAAAGATTATTAGGAAGACCTTCAATCAGGATTATTAGGAACGTGTTCAATTTCTCATTAATGCAATTATCTAATCAACCAATCACATGGCAGTTGCTTCAATGCATTTAGGAATGTGGTCCTGGTCAAGACAATCTCCTGAACTCCAAACTGAATGTCAGAATGGGAAAGATATATAAATATAACCACTCATTACAACCGAGATATGCAGTAAAGCATTTGTGAAGCCACAACACGCACAACCTTGAGGCGGATGGGCTAAGACCCCACCGGGTACCACTCATCTCCACTACAAATAGGAAAAAGAGGCTAAAATTTGCAAGAACTCGCCAAAATTGGACAGTTGAAGACTGGAAAAATGTTGCCTGGTCTGATGAGTCTTGATTTCTGTTGAGAGATTCAGATGGTAGAGTCAGAATTTGGTGTAAACAGAATGAGAACATGGATCCATCATGC